TCATCATCATTATTATTTTTTTTTCTAACAAAAATGAAATTTCATTTTTACAAAAAAAAAAAAAAAATGACAGGGTAAATCTATGGAGAAAACTTTCCGATGATAATTTTCCAGTAAACTGGTTTTGAAATAATTTTAATTAGATATTTAGAAGAGAAATAATAAGAAAAAAATTCCATTATGACCAAATTCTTTTTTCTATCTCTCTCTCTCTCTCTCTCTCTCCCCATTTCTACCTCTTTTTCTCTCTCTTACCCCCCCCTCTCTCTCTCTCTCTTTCTCTCGCTCCTTTCATCTTTTTTTTTTTTTTTTTTTTTTTTTTTTAAACGCACAAAAATATTCCATTAAAATAAATTGAATGTCAATTTTTTTTTTTAAATTGAAAAATTATCATTATTATTTCTCTCTCTCTCTCTAAATGTTTAACATTCATAAACGTCGATACCTGAAAAACTTTTTTTTACGATGCCTGAAAAAAAAAAATGAAAATGAAAATCAAATACCTTAAATTTTATGTACCGTCGTCAAAGTCATGCGATTTTTTTTTTAACGTCAACAACAAACAACAAACAATTAAAAATTATTATTATTATTTTCGTCAAATAATTTCTTCCTGTGAAATTATTATTGCACGAGACCAACCGCGAAAAATAAGAAATAAAAAATAAACGAATCATTATTATTATTATTATTATTATTTTGTTTTTCCTTTTTTTGCCCCTTTTGAAAGTTTATCTGGAAAACCAGACTGAAAATTTGACCTTTTGCACTCATCATTTGGACGTAATTTTTCCTTTTTTTTTTTTATTTTATTTCAAATATAAAAATAAATTTATGATCATTATTATTATTATTATTATTATTATAAATATGATTGTTGTTGTCATCGTCGCAATAAATTTTCCTTTTTTTTTTTTTTTTCCTATTACAAAAATAAAGATTCGGCAAAAAGAAGAAGAAGAAGAAAATCAAATTTCTAAACAAATTTCTAATAATTTTTTAAATTTAAACTCTACGACAGCAAACGACAAACAAG